CATCTGAATATTTGGGTTGAACTGTTCTGGAACAGTGTTGTAAATACAACTTAACCACTGATTTCTAGTCGTGTCCTCTTTTGGAAGACCAAACAAAGTAGTTTTGCTTTCACAACGAAACACACGGAGGGCTAGAGTGAGCAGAGGCAGGTGGGCTTAAGAACGGTGCGGCCGGCCGATTCGATGAAGGAGCGTCCGGCGGGCTTGCGGCAACAACATGTGACGACCCCGGGCTGGACATGGCGGTGGCGGCAACAACAATACTACAGCGAGAATAAAAGTTACGCCGCCTTTCTTTGCGTGAACATTTGGGCGGTGTTATGCAAATCTTCCCACATTGTGACGTAGACATGTGGGGGCGTGTTAGAACGAGCTGTTTTAGGTAGGCGTGGTCGACTCTTAACTTTTATAAAGAATAAAATCTCTTTGGATTTGAGACTTTAGTCTTTGCAACTTTACAGATCTTCTTTATGCACCAAGAGCTTGTAACACTTCAAAGAGAAATTAAAAATTGAAATCGCATCATATGACCCCTTTAAATAACTTTCATATGGACTAGTGGTTAACATATTTCAAGTTATAAATTTAAAATAATTTTTTATTGTTGTTAATATCTCATTAGATTACAGTCTTTATTACAGTATTTTATTACAGTCTCAACAAATTAACTTTCATATGGACTAGTTGTTAACATATTTTAAGTTATATATGTTTAAATTAAAATTAAATTTGGATTTAAAATGATTAAAAATTATTTATCATATATTATAATATGTTATATGCAGAATATCCTATTACACAGCATTATATGATACATTTTATATAATAATAAAAATATTATGATGTATTTTTATTTTACTTTATTTATTTTTTGGCGAACTCTTCCTTTAAATGTTGATCCATAGTGATCTGTTATCCAGATGACAGATGGATGACTCATTCAGGCTGGAATTTGACACGGCATCTTTCTGAAACGTTTTGGAATTTACCTCTACTTTTCACATTTGCATACATGTACATACATTTCTTGCTCATAAATAAGTATGTGTTTGCAAAGATAAACTGGAGAAAAGGATAGAAAACAGATTTTTGTAGGCTCAGGTCTGTTTGTTGCTGATTGGCCTGATCCATGTGCATGTAATTTGGAAAGAGGAGGTCCTACACATTAATCTTCCATTATCTTCAATGGTTGTATTCATTAATCAACAGAATTGAATAATTACTCTTAGCTGTCTCCTCTGCCTAAACTCATTGGTGCAGAGTGTCAGGTGAGGAGGCCATCTTGGTGCAACGCAGCTCCTCTGCTCCGCCGACAGTGGCATCTCACCGCTGGTAATTGGGTGTTTATCTGATCGCTTGTGAAAGACGCTTTTAGGCTGCCTATCTGACACAATTATCTGGAAGAATTCAATCCGACCCTCCTGTGTCCACCATGGAATACTTGGAGGAAGCGGACCTGAGTGTTTTATGAATGAGGGAATGAGGAAAAAAACGCCAAGAGCTGAAAAATAAATGCAACTCACACTCGACCGTCCGGTTTGTAGTGAATGCGTCTGTCATCGTGGCATGCAAATTATGCAATTGTTAGGCACAATAATTCTATCAGGCTGCCAGAACACTAGGGGAAATAAAGGATGATAAGGTATGATTGTGACAATGGGATGGCCGGTTCTCCAATAAGATAGCGGAGCTCTAGGCCGCCGTTTCAGCTCTGTGGCCAGGAAATGGTCCAATTGGAGACCGGGAGAATGTTTACTGTGCATCCAATGATGAAAGTAGAATAAAGCCTCTCTGTCAACAAGCTTACTCTGTCTACCACAAACAAGCCATTATGGTTAAAGAGAATTATGAAGTGTCTTAGAGAAGTAGAGATGTCTGTAAATAAACTTTCAGTATTTACCTTTGCAATATATATATATATATATAGATATATCTATATATCTATATATATATATATATATATATATTTTTTTTTTTATATATATATATATATCTATATATATATATATATATATATATATATATATCTATATATCTATATATATATATATATATATATTTTTTTTTTTATATATATATATATATCTATATATATATAAATATATTAATTTTATATAAATATAACATTTTAAATGAATTATTTTAAATAATTCATTTAATATATTTATTAATATTTTTATTTTATTTTACATTTAGCAAGTGTGCAATGAATCAAAAGGGATTTGGGTTGAGCAAGATAAATTGCATGACCAAAATGACATACTTTGCAAAAGATTTACCACTAAAAGTCATTTTATATTTCTGGATCAGTTGTGTTTTGTCATGCGTGTTCTCATCGGCTCTGAAAAATATTATTGCATCCAAAAGGATGTGATGCTTACTCTTTGATTTTGGGTTTCAGATCGGTCTGGGCTGGCATGCAATCTCAGTGCACTTGTATTTTGCAGATGATTGATCAGCGTTACCAACAGATTCATTTTGAACCAACAGGCAATATTCCTACTGGGCATGAGATTTCATATAAGCCTTGAGCATTGATCCAAATACGTTTGGTACATGAGAGAATGGGTTTTTAATCTTTCAGTCTTCTGTATCACAAAATTCACCTCTTTAAATCTGAATGTCTGTTGACACCAGACTGAATAACTACATTTTCTGTTTTGATTCAATGCATCTGTATTGATTAAGCAAAACAATAATAATAATAATATGTAATAATTATATTTATTTGGTATCATTGGTATGCGTTTATATTTATGTTAATATTTTGAAATTGATTTTATTTATATTTTCTGTTTTCACTTTAGTTTTGGTTAAAAGTTTTAGTAATTTTGTTGTTTTTGTCATGCTCTTTTTGTTACTAATACGCCAACATTATTAAATGTTTTTTTTTATTTGTATTAATTATTTATTAGTTTTAGTTATTTTAGTACTTAGTTAAACTAAATGAAAATGACAAATAAAAGTAAAATAAGCTGAATTCAATTATTTTTGTAATAATTCAGTTAAACGTAAATTTGTAAATATTTTCAGTAACATTATTTCAAGTAACAAAAATGTATTCCTATAGTTTTAGTTGACTATAACAACCTTGCAGCTAGATATTTTATGTCAAACTGAGTCAATGATTCACTGAATCATTGATTATCTCATCCAAAAATGCATTAACAGAAGTTCCCAGCATTTCATTCCTTTGTTTTTCTCTTGGTCTGTCTAGATTAAACTTGGAGACATCCAGGGATGCCAGCTCTGTAAGAATCATGCAGGTCACATGGTCAGGTACCACAGTCCTCATCATTTTCACCTTGCTGCAGTTTGTCCAGTCGGAGCTGTCGGAAGGTCCTTTGGTTCCAGGTAAGCATGCATGAGCCCTGTGTTTTGTGATTTTATTCCCAGGTTCTGATGTGGATTCCCAGGTTATTCCCAAGATACGTGGAAAGGACACATAAGCCTATTAATTGCATCTGAACTTTGAAAAAAACCCAGTTATTTTTATGGGAACACAGAAACATCTAGACTTTTAAATTCTGCAGTGCAGGCTTATGTGCTTTTCCCGTGTGGCTCTGGTGTGTTTTTCCCATCTTGACTGTATTTCCAGTCGAATGATGAACTGTCTGTTTGTGTGATGGACACCATTCAAGGGACTGTCAGGTCAACTGGTTCTCTATTTCAGGTGAATGATGAATAATGTTAAACGAAAGGAGGATTTCAAGATAAATGACAGACATCAGTCAGGAGCGACTGCTATATGACTGTGTTCCTTTATCATGGGTTTGAGAATCGAAGTGGATACATTAAATTGAATGAGTCATATTGGAACTCATGAGCTTTTAAAGGGACAGTTCACCTCAAAATCATTTACTTAGCCTCATGTTGTACCAAACCCACATGACTTTCTTGATTTAGAGGAAGTTTTTTTTTTTGTCACTGTCACTTTTACTGTTCTTGTAATGAAAGTAAATGGATGCTGGTTCTGTGAATCTCCAAAATGACAAAAATGTACCATAAAATTGCCATAAAAATAGTCCATACGACATATGCACTATATTCCCAAGTATTGTGCAGCTCAATTTAACCAAAGTTAAAGTCTTATAGAGTCAAATAAACCACTTATATTGGGAATTTAAAAGTTAGACTGTTCAAATTCACTTTCATTATACACTACCGTTTGAAAGTTTAGGGTCTGCACGATTTTATAAAATCATTTATTTATTTTTAAATGTTTCTTATACTCACCAAAGCTGCATTTATCTGATAAAAAAAATACAGTAATAATTGTGAAATATTGCAATTTAAATTTACAGTTTTGTGTTGTAATATATGTAAAAAAGTAATTTATTCCTGTGATGCAAAGCTGAATTTTCAGCATCATTACTCCAGTCTTCAGTGTCACATGATAATTCAGAAATCATTCTAATATGCTGATTTGCTGCTCAAGAAACATTTCTGATTATTATCAGTAAGGGTGGGCGATATGACCAAAATCTTATTTCACGGTATGAGAAATTTTATTTCACGATAACGATATATACCTCGATATAGCTATTTTTATTTTATTTTTGTTATTAAAATTAAGAAAAAGAAGCAAATTACAAGCACAACAGAACAATATGATACATATGAAATAAACATTTTATTCATTTAGCTACAGTAGGCTAGGTTTATTTAACATGTAGTAAGAAATATTACAGAAATTGAATGAAGTGTATAAATAAAACACTGCATAGTCTTCACTGTATCAATCAAACAATATTAATAGTGACAGACAGCAGCAGGTAAATAAGGCTGCTGTCCTTTTAAGACCAATCCAATGTACTGAAACACATCCAGTTTTCACCCAACTGTTTACGCTTATTTAACTCATAACCGACTGTGTTTACGGGAATAGGTCACACGACGGGCATTATGTCATATCTGTGTGCGTATTTGACCCTTCAAGCACAATAAAACAGGAAAGAGATCTGTTTTCGCGATTGCATGCTGTCTGAGAGGGGTTTCAGTGCGCGCGCTTCGGCTGTGTGTCAGTCAGCGCAAGCAGCGGATTGAGCTTTTTTCACCGCTTATTGCACTTAATAACTTTATTAAACATCATGCATGTCCCAAATCCGCGATCGCATGCTGTCTGAGAGAGGCGATTTCTGAGTGTGTGCTTCGTGTGTGTCAGTCAGCGCGAGCACCATTGAATGAAGTGTATAAATAAAACACTGCATAGTCTTCACTGTATCAATCAAACAATATTAATAGTGACAGACAGCAGCAGGTAAATAAGGCTGCTGTCCTTTTAAGACCAATCCAATGTACTGAAACACATCCAGTTTTCACCCAACTGTTTACGCTTATTTAACTCATAACCGACTGTGTTTACGGGAATAGGTCACACGACGGGCATTATGTCATATCTGTGTGCGTATTTGACCCTTCAAGCACAATAAAACAGGAAAGAGATCTGTTTTCGCGATTGCATGCTGTCTGAGAGGGGTTTCAGTGCGCGCGCTTCGGCTGTGTGTCAGTCAGCGCAAGCAGCGGATTGAGCTTTTTTTCACCGCTTATTGCACTTAATAACTTTTTTAAACATCATGCATGTCCCAAATCCGCGATCGCATGCTGTCTGAGAGAGGCGATTTCTGAGTGTGTGCTTCGTGTGTGTCAGTCAGCGCGAGCACTGCATTGAGTTCTTTTTCATTGCATATTGCACTTAATAACGCGATCAAGTGCAGCATTCTTTAATATCTCATTCATGCATGTTTCCTTATCAATCAAAGGGGAATATAACGTTTAAGCAGTATGTTACGCAGATATATTTGCATACCGCGGAATACACTATATAGCAAAATCTCTAACGATAGACCTCTATTCCGCGGTAACGACATATACCGTCATACCACCCAGCTCTAATTATCAGTGTTGGATACGTGGAAACCGTGATACATTCCCCCCCCCCAGGATTCTTTTATGAATAAAAAGGTGAAAAGAACAGCATTTATTTCAAATGCAAACCCTTTGTAGCATTATAATTGTCTTTACTGTCACATTTGATAAATTGAATGTGTATTTGCTGAATAAAAGTATTAATGTTTTTTTTATCTTAACAACCTCAAACTTTAGAACAGTACTGTAGAAAAAAAAATCACACACGCACACAAAAATCACATTGTGTGATCACAGAAAAAAAAAATCATGTGGGTTTGAAATTACATGGGGGTGAATAAACTAAGACAAATATAAATATTCATTTTGTGGGTGAACTATTAAATAAAACCACTTCTCATAAAGATCAAGAACATGGTCTTCTTTTTAATGAAATACCAATGGTTATATAGGCTAATTATGCATTCTTTATAGCAACTTGTTAAATTAGGCTGCTATCCCTTTAAAACCGAATGCACAGCTGCAATGGATGCAATGTACTGATACGCGTTCTCCCTACTGTTTACGTTCACTTAAGACGTAATCAACTGTGCTTACGCGAATACTTGTCAAAACGGACAATTCAACATCATTTTGTGTGTAATTCTCCGTTCATGCGATGCAAAAGAGTACTCGCGCACTGTGAGAGGCGCTTTCTCTGTGTGTATGCTTCAGTGCCTGCACTCAGAAAACCGGACCGAATTGAGTTCTCTCTTGCGTCATCAGAATTATCCATATGTCTGCTCTTCTCTTGCTCCCACATATTGACATTTTTTTACATTTTATGCGACGTGCAGCAAGTGTACATTAGCTTATGTCCCGCCAATTCACATGTACGCATCTAACCTCTGAACCACGCAGCAGATTCGTTCTGAATGAATCTCTTCCCAAATCGTCCCTCCCTAACATTTTCATCTCGTTTTTATTAGTTGACGAAAATGTCAATATATTTGCGTCATAGTTTTTGTCATTCAAAAAGAGTTTGTTATAGTTCGTAGTTCGTTATCGTCTCGTTGTCGTCGGTGAAAAAAATGTCGCTGACGAAAATGATTAGTCAATGAAATTAACACTGGTTCCCTGTAAAGCGTAGTTTATTCCCGCAAGTCATCATGATCGACTTCTGCAGCAAGCTCTCTTTGGTCCTCTGTATCTCCGTTTCTAGCCTTTTTCTCCCTAATTCACATCAGCCCGGATGATACCTCCCCAAATCACCCTGTTATTCAACCATTTTCCTCTTTATTGCTTCACACTCTTGTCCGTTATGATTCCTTCTCCTCACTTGTTTACCTTCCCTCCTTCTCATCTCCCTTCGTTCCTCCTCCTTTCCCCGTATTCCTTTGCCTGCTGCTTTAGAAACAATTTACTTGTCAGCTCGGTCTGTTGGTGCACGTCTCTCTGGGTTTAATGGTCTTTTCTTGTGTGCCGTTGGGGGCGGCTGTAATTTCAGTAGCGAGCAGGCGTGTGGTGATGCCTTTTGCTCGCTGCGAGCCTGCATTGATAGCTGGAGCCCGATATAGCAGCGTTAATGAACAGGGCTGAGCCAGGTGCTTCCTGCCTGAAGTCCAATTCACTCCACCTGATGCGCTGCGCAGGAACCGCCGCTGAGCTGTAAACAGATGCTGCAGCCACACAATGAACAGTGTGCAGCTGAGCATGATGGGTTGCATTCTTCAACCACCTGACAATCTTTTATTTCTTTGATGAAACTGGTGTCGTGTTGTGTCATAGCTGTAGACTAGATATAGATGCACATCTATGCACCAGTGTCGCTTTGCTATACACAGCTATAGTATTTTAATTTCTCTTATCTCTTTGCAGACTCTGTCTTCTCAGTTAATAGAACAATTTTAACCTTCCATTTATATTTATTTGATGCATGTAAGTATAGTCAGTCGGTCACTATCAAAAAATAACCCGCTTTAGGGTGATAAAAACCCCTCTGCTTCACATCCTGATCCTCCTTGTCAGATTTATTTTGAGATAATGACTGTCTAGCTGTACATTATCCAAAAGGGTGCTTCTACTAAATACTGAGCAAAGGGTCTGAATACTTAGGACCATGTGATATTTCAGTTTTTCTTTTTTAATAAATCTGCAAAAATTTCAACAATTCTGTGTTTTTCTGTCAATATGGGGTGCTGTGTGTACATTAATGAGGAAAAAAATTAACAAATGATTTTAGCAAATGGCTGCAATATAACAAAAAGTGAAAAATTTAAGGGGGTCTGAATACTTTCCGTACCCACTGTAGGTTTGTAAGCTGTTTGTCCATTTTCATACATCTATATCTATAATATCTATACCTCTGTATGAGAAACTGAGAAAAGGGGGCCTTGAAGAAGGAAAAAAAAAACACAGGTGGACTACGGGTTATTGCTAGATATCTGACCGAATGTATAACACTGCAGATTTCGTAGCTGTGCATCATGGGAGCAGGCACTTGAAGG